CCACCATATGAACCAGCAGCGCCACCTCCATAAGTTAAGCTAGAATCTCCATTACCTGGAATTAGTGATTTGATTTAATTGAATCCTATAACTAGAAACAATATCCTTGCATTATTACAGTATCATAACAGAAACATTATACCTACTTATAATAAAATCTTGTTCATTCTGTTAGTTTTGTTATCGTTAAGTACTAAGTAAATAATAATCTATTTTGAAAAGATTTGCAATATTATGAACTAGCAGATTATTTTTATGATGATGGGAGTTACTATGTTTCTGTGATTGTAGATTGCAGACAGAAATTTGATTGCCTGATTTTATATTAGAAGCAATAAGAATTTTATTTCAAATTATAAATTTTCTATTTTTCTTAAAGCAATTGTGTTTGATAAGATGATGTAGAATCTAATGATCTAATAAAATATTATTAAATGCTCTAACAATTTGATTGGCAAAAAATATACAGCATAGTTCTCTTTGTTAATTAAAAAATTAAGTAATGAGCCTATTAAACAGCATGATGTTAAATGTATATAACCTCAGAAGGTTTGGTCGTTTAAGGACTCATAGGAATACTGATGTACCATATTGATAGAAATATACCTGAAAAGAATTTCTGTCAATCGATAAGAATGTCGGAGTACATTTTTCATTATTTGCATTGATGTCACCCAAAAATTTTCAATATATTATTTCTATGGAATGGTTAAAGCTTATCCTTTATCCTTACCTCCAGACGAACCAGCAGCATCACTTCCTGAAGAACTAGCAGCATCACCTCCTGAAGAACCAGCAGCATCATCTCCTGAAGGATCAGCAGCATCGCCTCCTGAAGAACCAGGTGCACCACCATCAAATGCTAAGCCACCATCTCCATTACCTGGAATTAATGATAGGTTTTAATTAAATCCCATTATTAGAAATATTATCCTTGGCATAACATATTTTTATGCTGAATAGGAAGAATCATTATAATAAAATATAGTTCGTTTTGACTTTTAGTTTTATTCTCGTTTAGTACTAACTATACAAGTTGAAATCGAACTATTGTACAGATGGATTCCATGTGCTTGAGTATATATACTTGCGTCTTTAAATTGAAATTGATGAGTAGTTAGTAAAATTAACAAAAATTTTTTACTGATTTAAGATTTCATAACTCAATATGTACTCTTAAAATCATGTTAATAATGAGTTAATAAAATACTGGAAAGTTATCTTTCCATATAATTATTGAATTATATGACCTAATAAAATACTCTTAAATGCTTTATCAATTTGATTGGAAACAAATATGCAGCACAGTTATTATCTATGTTAAATTAAAAGTTAAGTAAAGAGCCTATTAAATAGCATGATGTTAAATGTATATAACCCCAGATGATTTGGTCGTTTAAGGACGTATAGGAATACTGGAGTACCATATTATTAGAAATACCCTTAAAATAATTTCTGTCAATCCAGTACATTTTTTATTATTTGCCTTGATGTCAACCAAATATTTTCAATATATAATTTCAATGGAATGGTTAAAGCTTATCCTTTATCCTTACCTCCAGGAGAACCAGCAGCATCACCTCCTGAAGGACCAGGTGCGCCACCAACAAATGTTAAGCCACCATCTCCATTACCTGGAATTAATGATAGGTTTTAATTAAATCCCATTATTAGAAATATCCTTGCCATAACATATTTTATATATATACGTATATATATATAAGTATATATATATATATATATAATGTATATACTTGGGTCTTTAAATTGAAATTGATGAGTAGTTAGTAAGGAAATCTATATATTTTAGTTAACTGCAGAGTAATACTATTATCGAAGTACAGTGTAAAAATTTTTATTAAATTGATTAACTCAAAACTTTCAAAATGGTTAGCAAAGAATAAGCAAATATATGAAATTTAAGCAGATTTTTTATAAAATTAATCTACGGTTCACTAAACCAATTACACTTCCTAAGCTTCTCTAGATGTATCCTTGTTGGCCCGGCTAAGGTACACTTGGAAATCGTTAAGGGAAGTAGTGCCATTCTCGAAATACTTTAGAGGAAGTACTTTTTAAAGAGCTTATCAGACTGTTTATCGCTAATAACGAAAGACCTATTAAATGATCTAAATTCGATAGGATGGATTTAGTCTGTATCTTAGGTTTTGTTGCCAACTATATACAAATTATTAATGCACTTCAAGGTCACTGGAAAGTTATCTTTCCATATAATTATTGAATTATATGACCTAATAATATACTGTTATATGTTTTATTAATTTGATTGGAAACAAATATGCAGCACTGTTCTCTATGTTAATTTAGAAATTAAGTAAAGAGCCTATTAAACAGCGTGATGTTAAATGTATATAACCCCAGATGATTTGGTAAACGACCAATATAGGAATACATATAGGAATACTGGAGTACCATATTGATAGAAATATACCTGAAAATAATTTCTGTCAATCGAAAAGAATGTCGGAGTACATTTTTCATTATATATATTGATGTCAAACAGATTTTTTTCATATTTTGTTCCTATAGAGTAGTTACACTTTTTTGTTTACCCTTACCTCCATTAGCACCAGCGTTTCCACCTCCAGAGGAATCAGCCGAACCACCATCAAATGAAACAGAAGCACTACTTTCGGCTGTTATGCTGGGACCTCCATTGCCTGAAATTGGTGACATGTTTCAATTGAATTCCATTATTAGAAATATTATCCTTTATGCTGAATATAAAGAATCCTAATAATAAAATGTAGTTCGTTTTGACTTTTAGTTTTATTCTCGCTTAGTACTAACTATACAAGTTGAAATCGAACTATTGTACAGATGGATTCCATGTGCTTGAGTATATATACTCTTTCGAAAACAGATTTATATTTTTCAGAAATTTAAGTTCATTTAGCAAATGCTTACGTTACACTCGATCAATTCGATACGCTCATTACAAGTGTTAAGTAGCGGAACCTTTTAGTTTTCTTAACAGATTCAACAAAATTAATATTTTATGTCACAGAATATTTACTAAAAACTCCCTACACTCTCTCCTTTAAGTTGAAATTGATGAGTAGTTACTTATATAAACAAAAAAATTTTACTGATTTACGATTCCATGCCTCAATCCGTACTCTTAAAATCATGTTAATAATCAGTTAATAAAATACTATGTTATGCAGTATACCACTTCCTTTTTAAGATCTAGACTTGTAATGTTAAATAAAAGACGTTCGTGTTGATATGAAAATAAGCACTTCCTCTAGGAAACAAATATTCCTCAATCAGATGCTCTTATATTGTCAGTGGGACATTGGAAAGCCTATGTGGCTTTTTATGTTGTCCTTGTTGACTGATTTGGTATTTCAGATTAAGTAAAGAGCTTTATTAAGTCTACTATCGTTATCTTAGCTACGCCAAAACTGTTTGTAGACTTCAAATTCCTACTGGTACAGCAGGAAGATATTTATTGAACTGGTGAATTAAAGAAACCATCAAAATGGTTAACAAAAACTAAGCATAAATATGAATTTTAAGCAAATTTTTCATAAAATTAATCTACGGTCAAATATATCAATTAAAGCTCCTAAGCTTCTCTAGATTTGTCCGTAGGGGTACCGGTTGACGTTTACTTGGAGGCCGATAAGAGAATTAGTTACCTATACTTTTCCAGCTTGCTTATAATAAGTGCTTATAATTATAATTAGACTAGATTTTGGGAACTTATCGAAATTGATCATGTGAATACTGCAACGTTTAAAATTGTGTATTTTTCGGTAGGAAGTAGAACCATAAACCATTTTCTCCTCGAATGCTCGATTTTGCGTTTAGAAGAAACGTTTTTCGAGAAGAACATTTTAAACGACTCTTTATCTGTGGTAACGAAACACCTATTAAATAATCTAAATTCGACAGGATGGATCTATTTAGTATCTTATGGGTTCTAGTAATGTAGTAGTTAATTGAGGTCAATGGAAAGTTATCCACTGTCCTACCACTTCGATCAACCAACCAAATTTTCTGAACTTCATTAAAAGTGAAGAAGGAAAGAAGGATTCTTGCTTGTTTATTCATGTCGTTCCGAAATCGTTTGGGTTTTCTTCAGTTTTACTAAGATATAACATTCATGGTTATATAATTCAACAAAATCCAGTTTATAAGAACCAAACAATCTCAAAAGAAGTTAATACACTTAATTCATACTTAGCCGTCGTAAAGAATGGTTTATTATTATTAAAAGAAGGTATTGTACACTGCGACCTGAAAGATCTATTGTGTCCCTTACTCGGGTAAGTGTTTCTCCAAGTCTAATTTTTTGAATCCTCATGATCCATAAAACATCCTCCAAGGTGTTTTTCCGCTTGTGCATCAGTGCCAAGCATTTCCTAAGCATATGGTATGCAATTTCTCTCTTTTTTCTACACTATCTGCAGTATGAGTTGGATTGAATTCGTAATTTCGATAGGTGATTATTCGATCTACTGTGATCGGTCAAGAATCCCGTAATAGTTCTTAGGTTATTTTTTGATTGTGCTTTGCAATCTTTGTATCGTTTTACGTTGTAAGTCGATAACAGCATTTTAGATTGTGAGAGTCCTAGTAACCTTTCCCAATAGAGTTCTCTTTCCTTTTCCTCTACGCTATTAATAAGAGTAGGTAGATTTTCTTTGCCAAGACTACAGAATGGTTCTGGGCCTATCATTTTTGAGGCTGTGCCTCTTCTTGCAAGTTTGTCTATCATTTCATTGCCTTGGATACCAGCATGTCCCGAAATTCATATTAGGTTCACCTGATAGTTCCAGCTGAGTATGTTCAGCTTGTCAATGTACTCCCATACCAGTTTGGATGTTACATGGTAGGATATGAGTGCCCTTATAGATGCCGGGCTGTCAGTCAGTATTGCGATTTTACGGTTCCGGTAGTTACGTTTAAGGTTGAAACTGGCGCATCTGTCTATCGTGTATATTTCCGCCTGAAAGATGGTTACATTATTTCTTAGTGCTTCCCAGTATCTTTTACCTGGTCTATAAATACCAGCCCTATTTCCTTCATTGGTGAGGGAGCCGTCTATATATCATGTTTCCTTTTATTACTTGGGTTTTGGAAAAGCCTTCCAAATTCTTTTTATTGCCGAGTTCAGTTTTGAAGTTTTTTGTAAAGTTAAGCTTTACAATCATCTTGTCTGTTGGCATAATAAATGGTTTAGTTAAACAAATTCCTGAAAATGTAATAACCATCAACCAAAACCTAGAATCAATGCTAAAAATTCTCACCCAACTAATGACAAACTTTATTGGCATCTACTCAAAGCTTAGTGCAAGAGATAGTAAAATTTCAAAATCAAATAATGCAGTTTCTTAGAGCTAATAAATAAACTGTCTTAGAATGTGTCACTGGAATGCCAATGGCATTCGCCAGCACAAACTTGAAGTTATAAACTTTCTCAAGTCCCACACTATTGATGTTCTGCTAATATCTAAAATCCATCTATCTAGCAAGAACAATTTTTCTGTACCTGGATTCAATTTATACTTCACGAATCATTCTGTATATATGCCCAACTTCTAATTAACTCAGGAATTAATCACCACGTCCTAGAACAGCTGTTCACAGCTCACATTGAAGCTGCGAAAATAAGCATTAACTTCATTGAAGATGAAGTCGTGCTAAGTGCTGGCTATTGCCCTCCTAGATTTGTTGTTCATAGATTTTTTTCATAATCTCGGTAATAAATTTATATTAAACTCAAAATCAAACTTATTCAGTATGCTGTAAAAAATCCAATTATGTATCAACAAGTTCCCGGAATATGTACACATTAGCAAAAATGCTGATAGAGTTACCTCAAATAGCTATCAAAATATTGTCAAAAATATTCAACGCAATACTTCGACTTGGGTACTTTACTCAAATTTGGAAAATTTCGCAAATTATGATTCTTCTTGATATAGCACATGCTTTTGACATGTTTTGGCTTGCTGGTCTTATTTATAAAATCAAGGAAAACACTCCTGATAACACTGACGAAATGCTAGAGTTATATCTTCAGGACAGGAAATTTCACATAAAAGTTGGAAGCTATACAACAGCTAGTCTCAACATAAAGGCTGCAGTTCCTGAAGGCAGTGTTCTAGGTCCAATATTTTACATTTTGTTTACTTCGGACATACCAAATAACTCACGTCTTGTGACTTCTACGTTTGCTTATAACACTGCTATCCTTAGTTCTCATCAAAATAAAGTCATGGCATCTAGAGACTTAATTGATTACCTTAAACTCATTGAAACATGGTTAGCCAACTGGCGTATTCGCGTAAATCCAAGCAAAAGTACGCATGTAACATTTACCCTGCGAAAGGACACATGTCCCCCAGTAACCTTCAACGGTATCACCATTCCACAATTAAACACCGTATCGTATCTGGGTGTTCATTTGGATAGGAGACTAATTTTGTGCAAACATTTTGAGGCTAAGCGAACTGAAAAAAGCTACAGGCGCAATTATATTGAATTAAAATTCCAAGTTACGGCTTAACCACAAAATGTTTACTTAAGCCAATTTGGAAAAATGGCGCTGAATTATGGAGCAATGCATATTCCTCCAACATTAAGTTAAATCAGCGTACTCAATCCAAAATCCTTCTCTTAATTACTGGTGCTCAGTGGTACATAAGAAGCGATAAAATTCATGAAGATTTGAAATAATTAGAACCACCTGGCAAGGAACCTACTGATAACGAGGTCTTCTTCAAGATTACGCAGAAAAGAAGTACCAACTCACTGATTTTCTTTTCTTATCCTTCAGATATTTATTAAATGATCAACTTAATTTAAACTTTAATTTACTTTAATTATTATCAATTAACTCCAACTATAGTTGTCATTTAATGTGTTTGCTTGAGATTTTTAAGATTTTAATACTTATTGTAAATCTTCTTAAAAAAAGATTTCAATAAATGAAATAAATATATTATTTATAATAAAAAAATATTATTATTTATATAGTTGCAAAACTCCTAACTCTTGAAAACAACAATCTATTTTGAAAACATTTGTAAAATTAATAAAAAGCTTAAAAGAATTAAAATTTTTTCTAAGGATGGTATGGGTTGAGTAGAGTGTAATTATCTGCTAAAACGGAAAAGAATAGAAACAAAGGCTTCTAATTTTTGTGATTGTAGTTTACAAAGAGCAATTCGATTGCCTAAATTTGTGTTAATAGAAATAAGAATAATATTTCATATTAAAACCATTTTAGTTTTCTTAAAGTAATTGTCATTATTGAATTAAATGACCTAATAAAATATTGTTAAATGTTTTATCAATTTCATTGGAAACAAATATGCAGCACAGTTCTCTATGCTAATTTAAAAATTAAGTAAAGAGCCTATTAAACAGCATGATGTTAAATGTATATAACCTCAGGAGATTTGGTAAACGACCAATATAGGAATACATATAGGAATACTGGAGTACCATATTGATAGAAATATACCTGAAAATAATTTCTGTCAATCGAAAAGAATGTCGGAGTACATTTTTCATTATTTATTCTGATGTCAAACAGATTTTTTTCATATATTATTTCTATAGATTAGTTAAACTTTTTTGTTTACCCTTACCTCCATAAGCATCAGCGTTTCCACCTCCAGATGAATCAGCCGAACCACCACCAAATGAAACAGAAGCACTACTTTCAGCTGTTATGGTGGCACCTCCATCGCCTGAAATTGGTAACATGTTTTGATTGAATTCCATAATTAGAAATATTATCCTTGCCATAACACGTTATGCTGAATAGGAAAAATCCTAATGATATAATCGTGTTCATTTTAACTTTTAGTTTTGTTCACGTTTAGTACTAACTATACAAGTTGAAATCGAACTATTGTACAGATGGATTCCGTGTGCTTGGGTATATATACTCTTTCGAAAACAGATTTATATTTTTCAGAAATTTAAGTTCATTTAGCAAATGCTTACGTTACACACGAGCAATTCGATACGCTCATTACAAGTGTTAAGTAGCGGAACCTTTTAGTTTTCTTAACAGATTCAACAAAATTAATATTTTATGTCACGGAATATATACGAAAAATTCCCTACACTCTCTCCTTTAAGTTGAAATTGATAAGTAGTTACTTATATAAACAAAAAATTTTTTGATCCATGGATCAATCCGTACTCTAAAAATCATGTTAATAATAAGTTAATAAAATGATTGGTTATGCAGTATACTACTTCCTTTTTAAGATCTAGAGTTGGAATGTTAAATAAAAGTTGTGCGCGTTGATATATAAATAAGTAAATCGTCTAGGAATCAACTATTTCCCAATCATTTGAAAGTAATTGATTGGTTACTCCATATATGGATGTGATAAACGAAGATGGGACTACTTGTATTATAAAAATATATTCTATTAAATATAATACATTCTGAGACATGAACAGATCGTTTACGGGTTCTTATGTGTCGTGGGCAAACGTTAGTGGCTTATTTGAGAATTTCTTAAGTAGATTAACAATTCTGATATTAAAACGAGTTAATCTATATATTTTAGTTAACTGCAGAGTAATTTTTACACTGTACTTCGATAAGTACAGTGTAAAAATTTTTATTAAATTGATTAACTCAAAACTATCAAAATGGTTAGGAAAGAATAAGCAAATATATGAAATTTAAGCAGATTTTTCATAAAATTAATCTACGGTTAACTAAACCAATTATACTTCCTAAACTTCTCTAGATGTATCCTTGTGGGCCTGGTTAAGGTACACTTGGAAATCGTTAAGGGAAGTAGTGCCATTCTCGAAATACTTTAGAGGAACTACTTTTTAAAGAGCTTATCAGACTGTTTATCGGTAATAACGAAAGACCTATTAAATGATATAAATTCGATAGGATGGATTTAGTCTGTATCTTAGGTTTATTTTTCTTCTATTGAACTTAAAAATTTAGTTTATTTTTATTTTAATTTTTTTTTATGATGTAGGAGTTTTTCTTATTATTTAACTTCTAATTTTATGAATACTTAAATTTAAAAAGATTGTTCTAAATTGTTTTCTTATTTTTATAATAATCTTTCTTCTTATTTGAGAGCTTTGGGATTGTAAAATGGATAAAAATAATTAAAAATTTTTCCTGAAATGTGGCACAGTATGAGGACTTTGAAAGTATTGTGGATATATTATGGAACATAAAATGCGTTCAATATAATTTTTAATATAAAGGTTTTATCACAAGATCCACCTATCTATTGTATATAATGAGAACATATTCAGTGAAATACTGAAAGGAATAGCACACAAATTATCAGTGTTAATACGGTGTCAGTAATACGAGAAATGTTGCTATATATAAAACGTTAAAGTTCAGTGAAAATGTTTTATTAAACCGCTTAGTGTACATTCAATCATATCTTGTACAGGATGTAAGTTTTATAAGAATAATATAAAATTATAATCATATTTTAATTCTCTTAACGACCAACGCCTGTTCCCAAGCCCGCTCCAGAACCTGCTCCAATTCCAACACCAAGCTGTGACGAACCTGAAGCAGTAGCGCCTCCATATGCACCAGCAGCGCCCCCTCCATATGCACCAGCTGCACCACCACCATAGGATCCAGCGGCACCACCTCCATATGCTGCAGCAGCACCACCAGCATTGTTAGCATCTATTAGAAACACGGACATCTCTTAGTTTAGTTACAAAACTTTACAATTATTTTTTCTTACCGCTGCAAACTGCGTTGATAATAAGGATGCATGCTATGACAAAAACTTGTTTAAGTTGCATTGTTTTGTTATTTAAATAGTTGTTAACGGTTCAAGAATAGTTTACTCCTCTGTCATTTTCAGAGTTGCTCTACGTATTTATATGGTTTGCTCTAATCTTTTTCAATGCGGTTAATGAGAAGAATACACACTTCATTAAAAACTTCGCAACGCTATTTCGAGTTATTGTGGAACGTAAATTCTATGGTACATTAACCCCACGTTATGTCGTGAATAAACTGAGTGTGTGATGCCTCAATGTCGCTGATTTTGTAAATGATATTATTGTCTTTATTTAAAAAAATTATTTTTTATTTTCATAATTATTACACTTGTGTTAGGTTACGTAAGGTTATACCGGGGATCCCTGGTGGATCCACTTAGGCTTTTTGGCCCATTGTGTTACAGTATATGTAGGAAAAATTCAGGGCTTATTACACTTCATAATTCACATAATTTTTTTAATTAAATATGAGACTAACTTGAGATTATAGATTGTCATCGCTTTATAATTTAATTTATTTTATCAAGAGGTGACTACATTTCAATGCGCAGAGACGAAGGTATTTGCCTATGCAGTTTACGCAGTTTTATATATACCTATATTTTGGTTACTTTTATGTATTAAATATTTTGACATAATGTAATTATTTCAATACTTTTGTCTTTGACAGACAGTTCTATAAAAAAATAATTTATACTACTCCTTTACCAGTTATTTCATTATCTATAATTTGATATCAAACATTAACTTTTACGCATTTTTTATAATTTTCTAGAGATTATTTCAAAAAAAGAAAAAATCAAGAAATGCTCCCAGATTATATTCCTCTACCAGTGCATGGTAGGTTTGTGATTTCCTAATTCCATGCCTTGGTAAGGAAGAACTTTTTTCAGTATGAGCATGTTTTATTATTAATAAAGTCAGTAAAGTAAATTCGTCACGTATATATATATGTAAGTTATATATACTACAAGTTTTGAAATAAGCTGAAGCTTATATTGATTCCCTTCACACAGCATTATGATTCTATATTAAGGTATTGTTTATAGGTATATGACAATACATATAATATACAAAATTGGTAGTATATTTTCAAACTATATTTAAAACTAAAGCGATCACCACCATTTTTATTATACAGGTTGCAATCTCCAGATATTCCTCAACTATATTTGAAGTATGTCTCAAAAAAGTTTTTCTAACAAAAACAATTAACTCTGCATTTTATATAGCAGTTATATTTAAATTAGAACTGGTATAAATAAAATTGTTTATATTCCCTCATGTGCAATACCTCTAAATACCTTTTTTAAACATGGAGAGTACTCATTTCTGATTGTTCTGTTTACATTCCACCTACACGATAGAATAGTCGTTTGAAAAATTATCAGAGTCTGCTACTGAGAAGTACAATACGTGTGCAAAATTTTACTCGAACAGTTCATAAACTTAACGACTAGTATATGATGTAAGAGACTGACGGATAAGGACAAGACTAAATGAGTTTAGCTCGTTGAGCTGATCAAGGATATATATACTTTATGTGATCTACGTTTCCTTAATGCGTCACAAAAATCTTAAGAAGACTAATATATCATTTTGACACTTGCCTATACCTTGGCCTATACGTAATAGGCTATAAAAAAATTAACTATATTTTAGGCATAAATGTAATGAAATGTCACTTCAACAGAATGATACTTTATATATCGGTGACTATTTTCACACTCTTGATTTTTTGTACTAAAACTTAAAAAGTGACTAACAATCATGAATTAGCATTTGGATTATTAAGTATTCCTGCCTTAGAATATTCAAGAAAATTGATTATTACTAGGTTAGACAGAAAAACTAGATTATTATCAGATTAGACAGAAAAACTAAATTATGAGTATGTTACGCGGAACGCAATGCAGACTTCATTCCTTTAACTCAATGCAAATTGAATAGCTTCGATCAGTTAGATTAAAACGGATAGACATATCAAGAAGAAAATGTTACTGTTAAGAAAAAAGTGGTGGATAATGGAGCTTTGAAAAAGTTGGAAGGGAATTTGGGAGAGGATGTCTAAAGTGAAAATGCTTATCTATTCATTCGTAACAAGTATACTGGAAACACGAAATAGTTTTTAACAAATCGTTAAAATTCTAATTTCTCAAATTTAATCTGTTAAATCTGGAGACTTAGACGTTTTGAAAGATAGCGTATTGCAGAGCTCAGTGGTTTCAAATTAACCTTAAATCAAATATTTACTTGACATAAATACTTGATTAGATTTATGAATCTATTTTATTAACTTAGATTCATGGAGAGTATCTTTTAAGTTCACCTGGGTATATTAAGGCAATTAACAAGCGTAACAATATCTCTTGATCTAAAATTCAAGATCCATAATTTTAATAATAGTAGAGTGGAGATATTTGACTTATTTTCTGGCAACAGGTGGACAGAACCTGCCGGTGTTGGCCTTTTAAATCCATCTGTGGAATGGGATGTTAAATTCCAAATGTTGAGATGTTAACTGCTACAGTTAACAGGAGTTCATTTGCGGAACTAACGATGGATCTGAGTTCAGTTTTAATTACACCGAGAAATTGATCACATTTTTTGCTGAATCAAATGAGATGTCTAAATTGCTTACTGTTCTGAACCTAGACCTAGTCGGCTTATGTTTTTTTCAACATTTTATATCGCGTTAGATGATCATATGCCCGTTTCAAGATAAATTGGTTTCACAACTAGTCCAATAAAAATTATAATGGATTGCATTGAAACGGGATTTAATCATGTTTCACATTTCTGTTCATCAACTAGCTTCATTTGGAATATCTTTTTAGTAATATATGTAGTATTTTACAAGTATACAAATAGTATATAAGTAAATAGTAATAGTATATAAGTATTTTCCCACTTTATGTATAGGTATTTATGAATATACTTTGTAGTGGTCATAAAACCATACTTGATTTCTTCGGTTTCAGACAAAACAAACTGTTAGCAAAATAACATTAGCAAAATAAGTTTAGAGTTTCAGATATACCTTAATATTTTCAGCAATTTAAGGAGTTTTTCATCATGATGAACTGCAAAAAATTGAGATATCATGCAATAATTTGCAGATTTGCTACTACTTATGTTACTTCGTTTCGGTTCAAACGCTCTATCGTATTATATTCACATCTCTCCGGTAGAGTCCAGTATTTGTTTATTTATTTTAATTTATATATGTATATATATATTTATAAATATATAAATTTATATATCTTTATATATATAATTCTTCTGTTCTTCTGTACGTTTGTTGACAGTGAACTCCTCCTAAACGGCTAAACCGATTTTGATGAAATTTTTTGTGTATGTTCAAGTGGATTCGAGGATGGTTTAGATTCACAATTTGGTCTACTGGATAATGATTTTTTAATTATTGTACAGTTTTTTGGTACCCATGTACATTTATATTAGACATTTAAAGTTTATTCATGCTTACTTTGATTTGTTTAAAAAATTTAAAGTCTCTAAAATAAATCGTTTAACTATCCTGTTGAACTTTTGAATTCGCTGGATTTACCAGGAATGCCACCACATAACTTAAGATTAAAAATTGGCTCACCTATAATTATGCTGCGGAATTTAAGTGCACCTAAGCTATGCAACAGCATGAGATTAGTTATAAAAAAAAATATGGGCAATGTACTTGAAGCTACAATTTTGAATGGAATATTTGAAGGTGAAGCTGTTCTCCTGCCACGAATTCCAATGATCCCTTTAGACTTCACCCTTCACCCATTCCATTTAGACGTCTGCAATTTCCAATTCGCTTGGCATTTGCCACAACTATTAATAAGTCACAAGGTCAAACAATGTCGATTTGTGAGATAGATCTAGAAAATCAGGTCTTTTCACATGACCAATTATATGTGGCGTGTTCTCGCGTTGGAAAACCGTCAAGTTTATTCATTTATACTCCTCAAGAATTGACTAAAAATATCGTTTATCAACTCGCATTAAGATGAAATTAAACAAACATTATTGATTATTACGAATTGTTTTTAAAAAAATTGATGTTATTTCAGAATAAAGAATAACAAAATTATTACATTATTTGTCTTTCATTTTTTACTTTGTTTAATATCCTCATCGCTTAGTATATCATGCAGGGCAACATCTGTCGGGTTCGGTAGTATATTTATATATAAAAAATTATCAAAAAAAAAAAATCGCATTAAAATTTGTTCCCATTTCAGCAGGAGATTCTTTCATTTTTTTTAATCAACGGCGCTCAATCAACTAATAACATTAGTCCAAAAACGTGATACTTTCGCACAGGGGCAAACATATGTCTATAATTTTTTATTCCGAAAGGTAAAGCCGAAGAGTAAAATAATACAATGCTGAACAGCTTTTGATAAAGTCGCAAAATCGATTTTTGCTTTAAGTTGTGATAGTGAGAGGATTATTATATTATTACTCTATGATGATTTAGAAGCGTTCACCTACTTTTTCCTTGGAATGCAATGCGTTGGGTTTATTGTAATTTAAAATACTCGTGTACATTGTAAAAAACTCGGAGTTGCATTTACAGTAATAACTGAGGCTTTCTTATACCAGATTACTCACCAACTATAAGAATATGATTTTATTATTGTTGAAAATTAGAGTTCTTAAGCTAGAGAATTAGCTTAAGAACTCTTCAATTTAAACCTTGCCAATGTTGTACAAATATATTTTTTAACGAGGACTTGATTAATGTATATCAACTTAATCTTTTTCTCATTAAAAGTACGGGAGAGTTACAGATCGAAATAAGAAATAAGGTACTTTAGAGCGATGTACTTGTTAATGAGATTACAATCATTCATGCCCAAGTAATTTCATATATTTATAATTTTTAAACAATATGGTATTTGATATTGTAATATTCACATAATCCTTTTTTAAATAAGATATATATTCCTTAAAGATCTGAAACTCTTTTTGCCCAAAGTAAGAACCAGTTTTAGGGATAACTTTAAACGTTGAGTAATTGAATATAATTTTATTTCTTCTGTAAGAAGAAGTGTTCATCTTAAAATATCTTCATTC